GGAATCGGTGACCGTCTTCTGGACTGGATAGCCATTCTCGTACCAAAATCGCGGATAATCGCAGGTCTCATTATAGGTGTTTCCGATATCGAAATCAACGTATCGACGGGCGCTTTTCCACTCGACCTGATGCTCCTTCACGGTAAAGGGTGTGGTGGTATTCAAGTAACCTTGGAAGCCAATCAAATCCCCCATGGTGGCGATCGTATTATCGAGCACGACGTACATCCCGCGCTTGTGAATTTCCGTGATGGCATTCCGCCATTGTGTCAGATTGCCATAATGACCATCGAGCAAGGTGGTGTCCAGCGCCGAATACCCGTCGTATCCCCAGGGCTGGTTCATGAGGATGGTGCCGGCCAGATAGATCCCCTAGGCGGCAATTCGGTCATTAGTTCTCCAAACTGACTCGGGTTTGCCTTCACCCACCTTGATTCCCATGCCCTGCAGATAATCCAGCGTGTCGATTAGGCCCGCGACATCTCCACCGTGGCGCATCTGGGTCGACGAGATGTCATGCTCCCAGATGGATTTATTGTAATTGTCATTCGTCGGATCGCCGTTCACAAACCGGTCCAGCATCAGGGTATAGAACGGGAATCGCCAATTGTCCGGCGAGGGAAAGTAGTCACCCGTGTGGTTCGGCCATTGACCCCAGTAGTCGGCGGGATTGGTGGCAGTTTCGTTCTCGTTGAGGTTGTACGCGGCGAGCGATTCATTGTAGGGCCAAGCGGTGGCCGGCAAGACTCCAACTAGCAGTGAGATTGTCAGAAAGGTTGGGACCAGGCCAGCAAGCGCCCACTTCATGTTTGCTGGGCAGCACAACAAGCTGCGTCTTGAGCAGTGGGAAAAATAGCAACCCCAATGCTTCTAAACCCGATCATAGGCGAACACAATACTCTGCTCCGAGACTCCAAAAGAGGCAGAAAAGTAGCAATGATTGCGACCAAACCGGTCGAGAAAGGAGATGATTATGTGCAGGGGTGGGAAACGAGCGTAGGAGATCAAGTCAAGCTAACAAACAAGATGCCAACAGATACATGAGTAATGAGGAGTAGGCCCGATAAGGTCGATTATTATTTGAGATCTTCTCGTTACCAGTCTAGTCTTGACCGAGTCGAGGCTCACAGTACGGATTACGAATGCCTACTCTCCAAACTGTTGCCACGACCTTGTTGGTGGGATATTTTTAGAGTGGTCTAGCGGGGTTTACTCTTCTTGAGTCTTGACAATTGACCGATGGGTCTATGAGGAGTGGACAAGTAGCTAAAAATTCCAACAGCACAAGGCCACGAACATACTAGGTAGAGTTAGGATGCTAGACATCACACCTCTGCCCGCCCTAGTCAGGTACAGTACCAATCACATAACTTGCCCTCCGTTGCATGATACGTAGACAGTTAAGTTACTGTCTGTGCTTGGAGAGTATGTAGAGGAAGTTCAGGAACAGCGTTGCCGCGAGCGTAAATCTCTGGTCGGGCCTTTTGTTTTTTTCTCTCTTAGTTCATTTTGCTCTTCCATAGTACGTATGCTTAAAGGTTTAGCCGCTTGGCCATCGAAGCTTGGAAGTGACTGTGAACGTTCTCGTTCGTTGCAATTGACCGGGTCCCACTTAGGGCTGGATTTCTCCCCCACTCCTTCCCACTTCTCCCCACTTCCAACCAACGACGATGACAAGGCCGGTGGGGCGCAAACACAGGGGCTTACGCAATGCTTTGCTTCTAGCTTCAATATTACTCCGTCGCAAATCCGCTTCTTATCGGTGGATTGTCTGGATGGCCGATGGATGGACTGGTTAAGTTACTGCCTAGTTTTGCGAGAAAGGTTCCCCTGTCTCTAAAAATGGACAGGGGAGCTGGATCATGGCCACTGACTACTTTTCGTGCACGATGCGAGGTACCCAGTACTAGTATACTAAGTACTTCCCTCACGCGGGGGCTTTTTCTCTGGCGGGCCCTCCCTTCGCACGGTCGATGATGCCCCCTGCATCTTCTTAACTTAACCCTTCCAGCATCGTCGTTTTAGCCCTGCTATACTATGTGCTTATCATTCCTTTCTCCGGGGTCACTTTATCGGACATTCTCAATTCCCTCAGTCTTTCCTCCGTGGACGATAAGTAGCCGTGTTCACAGCCCAGCCTGAATATCCAACCCCTGCTATCTGACCCCCGGCTGGGCCATCGTATGCCCGGTTACTGTCCAGAGACAGAATAGAGCCACAATGCTGCAGTCTATGGCTCTCGTGCTCGGGCAAGGCAGCATGGCCTCTCACTTGTTCTACCTCTTCCTCCTCCTGACCTGTTGCTCCACCTCCGCCCTTGCGGCAACAACCGAACAATGGAAAACCCGCTCCATCTATCAGACGATGACCGATCGTTTCGCCCTCACCAACGGTTCGACAACCACCGCATGCAATGTCACGGAAAACAGCTACTGTGGGGGGACTTGGCAGGGGACGATCAACAAGTTGGATTATATCCAAGGGATGGGATTCGATGCCATCATGATCTCGCCCGTGGTGAAGAACATTGCTGGCAGATCCAAGGACGGGGAGGCCTATCACGGGTATTGGCCACTCGACCTCTACGAGGTCAACTCTCATTTTGGCACCCAGGAGGATCTCGTCAAGCTGGCGGAGGAGGTGCATGCGCGGGGAATGTACTTGATGCTCGACGTCGTGATCAACAATATGGCCTATAACACCGACGGAGAAAACCCGGCAACTCACATCGACTATACCGTCTTTCCCCAGTTCAATGGCTCCTCGTATTTTCACCCCTACTGCCTCATCACGAATTGGAACAACTACACCGAAGCGCAATGGTGCCAGACCGGCGACAACTACACCGCGCTGCCGGACCTCTACACCGAGCACACCGGCGTGCAGGACACCTTGATGACCTGGAGTAAATCGGTTATGAACAACTACTCGATCGACGGACTCCGCATCGATGCCGCCAAGTCCCTCACCCCGAGCTTCTTGCCGACATACGTGGAAACGGTGGGAGGGTGGATGACGGGCGAAGTCATGGAATCTAACGCCAGCATTGTGTGCAACTATCAACAGGAGTATCTGCCCAGTTTGCCCAACTACCCCCTCTATTATGCGATGATCACCGGGTTTCTGAACGGGGAGCCGGCTTCCCTACTCGAGGAGATCGCCACGATCAACCGTCTCTGCCCGGACGTGCCGGCAATGGTCAACTTCATCGAGGACCAGGATGTGGATCGCTGGGCGTACATGAATGACGATATCATGCTGGCCGAGAATGCACTGACTTTCATGATGCTGTTCGACGGCATCCCCCTGGTATACCAAGGTCTGGAGCAGCGCATCGTTGATTCCAACCGAGCAGCCCTGTGGACCACCGACTACGACACCAACGCGACGCTGTATAAGCTCATTACGAAGCTCAACGCCATCCGCAAGCACGCCATCAATCTCGACTCCGACTACATCAATTCCCAGACCTACCCCCTCTACCAGGGTGGAAGCGAACTGGCCTTTTGGAAAGGGAACAACGGGCGACATGTGGTCATGCTTCTGTCCACGCAAGGCTCCAACGGGTCGGCCTATGAGCTGACCCTCCCTGTGAGCTATGGCGCCAGCGCCGTGGTGACCGAGGTGCTGAACTGCGTCAACTACACCCTCAACACCAACAGCGAACTCGTGGTTTCCATGGACAAGGGCGAGCCGCGCGTCTTCTTTCCCGCTTCGATGATGCCCGGCAGCGGGCTTTGCGGCTACAATGCCAGCAATGTGACCTACACGGAGCTCCGCCTGGCGGCCGTGAGCTCAAACTCTTCCTCCGCCGCCGCCGGCCACACCGTCGCGTCATTGGCGCCGGGATTGATTTTCGCTTCGCTGCTGTCACCGTTTGTGGCGGGTTTCGCAATCTAGACTGCGACATTGGGGGATTTTGCATTCGTCATGCTCGTTGTATGGTAGCGAATTTGCAGGGTTGGTACTTCAAGAGCGTTCCGCGCGCCTGAATCCTATACCTTGCTCGCCGCGATGGCTTGATTAGCAATCAATGACAATGGTTTTCTCCAGGTTGCCAGCACTTTGACTGGGATTTGACCCTGGAGGCCAGGAGATTGTCTGCAGTCTCCTAAGCCTCGCACTGCCACACTCTACTCCCTTCCCAGCTGCATCCATGGGGCTCGGATGACCCTCTTCCCCCATTCTGTACTGGTGATGCTTGCAGCGTATGAGCGATTAACTCGACCTTCTCGGATCACGTACTGAACAGCAAAATGATCACCGACATTTCCCTCTCAAACGTCGTAAGCCAATCTCTTCATGCCTTATATCCTAACCCTGGTCCGGACGAGGAGGTGCTACAGCCCAACAGATTACCACAACGTACGGTATATATAAACTACGAAAAGAAGCCAGTCGCAAAAGAGGGAGTTGCCGAGCCACTCGAGTGAATGGACATCTGCTCCGTATAGCTCGAACATTGATTCATGTCATCTTGGTAGGATATTTCTAAAACCGCACCTGTTGAAGACAAGTCCCATTCAACCCGTTGTGTCATTCACTTTACTTCTTGTAAGGACCTAAGACAAAAAGATTTCGTCGATGCCCAACTGACGAGAATCTCAGATTAGAGAAGAAAAGAAGCCTTCCGTCACACGCACCGGTGGGCAGTACATCTTGGACCTTCCACCTATTCTTTACCCCGAAAACGATCTACTTTTCGTCTGCAGCATACATATCGTTTCTCCTCAACACGCCCAACCCCCGGCTCGGCGATCGATGCAAGGGATGTATCAGGCCTCCATCCATTGCCATGAAGTGGTTGTTGTTCGATTCAGTCCAGGTTCAGAAGCCTCAGTCTGAAACTTGCATATACGAGCCCTGTCTCGAGAACTATACATTTTATACGTTGGTTGAACTAAGCCCACACGGCATCTCAAACCTTCAATCAAATCCCCCCTCATCCCATCGACACCAGGCGCCCGCAACCAAGTCCCTTCGTCTACCGCAGGCGCCTATCAGTACACGTAGACAAAATCCTCATTCATCCGATCCGTCACGTCATGCAAACCGTTATCCTGGTCGATTTCCTGGCGGTAGTCGTGGACCTGCTCGAGCTGGACGGCGTCGCCCTTGAGCTGCTCCTCGTGCGCGGGGGCGGCGGCGGCCCCGTCGGGGACCGGGTCTCCCTTGCCGAGCTCACGACGCTTGCTCGCGTGTTGCTTATTGAGGTACATGAGGTAGAAGGGGATCAAGCTGATTCTCAGTCAGCTCGAGAAGCCACGGGAGACACAAGGGTGCCGGGGAAAGAGAGGGGGGACGTACGCAGACACCACGCCCACGGTCACGAACATGACCAGGTTGGCGATGAGACCGGTGCGGTACAGCGGGGCCTCGTTGGTCGAGTACAGCAGCGGGCCGATGACGTTGCCGGCGCACATGCCCACGAACACCACGCCCGAGGTGCACTTCTTCTTGGTGTCCCCGCCGGTATTCTGGGCCTGCCACGCGTAGATGAGCGGGGTGATGGCTGCTAGGGTGGAGACCTGTTGTTGGACGTATCGGTGGACGTATCAGTGATTTTTCTCGGCTTCAAAGAATGGTTTTGGAAGGTCCAGCGCTGCGAGAGACATACCAGGTAGTATCCGAACAGCAGCACGCCTTTCTGCTCGCGCGGCACGGTGAGCATCAGGACCGTGCCCACGGTGGGCAGGACGCTGATGCCGGCGATGGTCCAACCCTTGGACCGGATCCGCGTGGCCACCCAGCCCGTGCCCAGGATCGAGAGCACCTGGATGACTCCGAAGGGGATGTTGAAGAGGATGGTCTCGAAGCTGCCGAAGCCGAAGGAGCTGACGATCAGGGAGCCGAAGGTCCCGATGCCGCCGCTGGCGATGCTGCATCACAACGTCAGGATTGGGATGTCTCACGGGGCGGGAAACAGGGGTTACTCACGAGATGGTGATGATGGCGAGGAACCAGCCCCATGTCTTCAGGTCCAGGGCCGTCTCCCACACGTGCTCCCAGCGCCACTGTCGTGTCGCGATCCCCATCTGGTTGGCGCGCAGCCGCTCCGTGGCGATGATCCGTTCCCGCATGGTGAGATACTTGGCCTCCATGGGGGAGTCGGGCATCAGCCAGAGGACCACGGCGGAGTAGGCGACGGTCAGCAGGCCGCAGAAGAGGAAGATGGTCTGGTAGCGATACATGGAGCCGTGCTGGATGTGGCCAAGCCCGTAGGTGAGGAGGCTGCCCACGATCGAGGTGACGCCGTTCATCGCGTTCCAGTAGCTGGTGCGCAGCGTCTGCTCGCGCCGCCGCCACCACATCTGGGTGATCGCCACGCAGGAGGGGGCGATGAGCGCCTCAAAGGCGCCCAGCACAAATCGCATCCCCAGCAGCGACTTGAAGTCGGTGCATGCCGACATGATGGACAGCGCGGACCCCCAGAAGAAGATCGCCGCGGCTAGTACCTTCCCCGTTGGAAGCTTGACCAGGGCCAGCGCCGCGAGCGGCTGCATTACCAGCTCCGCTAGATACAGGATCGACCCCAGCCAGGAGTACTGCCGGCCGTGCAGGTGGGCGTCGGTCGTGAGGCCGAAGATGGAGACGTAACTGAAGAAAGATTCAGCGGCAGCTCGCGACACCTGCGCATTGAAACATCAAGGCACCTACCTCAGGGAGCTCTTGTCCAGCTGCTGGAAGAAATACGCCCACAGGATGATCACCAGCACCCGCTTGTCAATCCGCCGCACCACTGCCTTTTCCTCCTCAGGAGTGAATTCGACCTCCTCCGCGGCCCGGTTGGCCAGGAACTGAACAGCATTGGAGCTTGCCGTGTATGTCGGAGGCTCGATCGGGGAGATTTCATCATTGTTGTGCGCCGCCATGGTGGCTGACGATGGTGCTGGGGTTGGTGAGATGGAATGAGGGAAAGGGGTCCTGCAATTCCAACCTGGCAGCGTAGGGATCTTTGTACCTCGGTAGCTAGCCAGACGAACGGTTGAGCTAAGGTACGAGAAAATACTGAATCGGAGGAAAGGGTCTTATATCCCTGTCGTTCCTTCGACGGCGCCAGACTGCAGAGATGGCTCCGTGTCTGATCACGGGGACAGAAAGAATGCGGAGGCATGACAGAGGGAGGCTTGAAGTCTACCTAGACGCCACATAGGACGAAGCTACCTTTCGCACCAATGGGGAATTCCGGGGGAGTGAATGGGCAAAAGAACGAGCTGACCTTGCCCTAAGATTGCAATACATAATTCAAATAAATGATTCACAAGCGCGTTGCACTGCGACGCAAGGAATTGAAATCGGTTACGCAAGACTTGATGGCATGACTGGGGTTGGGGTACCCCACACATCCGCGGCGGTATTTCGCCTCCAGAGATTTAAGTCCACCGTTATCGTTGTAGCGTATTGTACAGTACTTTCCACGACCTTTCTTCCGTTTCAGCCGTTCGCATTTCTTCCGTCCAAATTATCCGCTTGCCCACGACTTCCCCGCATTCCGCTGGGTGTCTCTTGGCGTGGCTTCCCCACTCATCCGGTACGGATTTGTCTGCCCAGTTAGGGCATGGCGTTGTGTTAGCTGGAAACCAGCACCAGAAGCATCTCGCGTATTGACATTGGTGGAAGCGAGAGAGAGAAGCTGGGAAATGGTGACACTATTATGATTGGCTGTATGTCTATCACAACGCCTTCGAACCAAGTTGTGGTCTATGTGCACGTCCAGTAGCTTACGAGAGTTTACTGTAAATACACCAATGCACATCGCGAAGAAAAAGATTAAATCATATTAAATCGCAGATTGAAATCTACCATCTATCTAACTAGCTAAATGGACCTAGGGCAGCGTGAGAAGGTCGGCGACGTGGACGACCTGCCCGGTGCGAATGGCGCGGTTCGCCGCCATGCCGGTCAGGATGGAGGCAGCGCCGTTGACATGGTTCGCTGCGCGCTTGAAGTCATCCTGCTCCGAAGTGCCACCGCCGAATAGCTCCCGGAGCATGAGGGTATCCCCTCCGCCATGCCCACCCGCCGTCTGCTTGACCTCGATCTCCCGTGGCGGCTCGAACAGCGGGCGCAGCAGCAGGGTGATGCGCTCCGCCGCACCCTCTTGGGCCTGCTCGCCCCCGGAGTTGACGTAGCTGCTCTCGACCACCTCGGCCTCGAGTCGCCCGCCGGTCCCGTTGAAGCTGACGCGGAAGCCTTCCCAGGGGGCGTAGGCCGTCAGGGAGTAGGTCAGGACGGCACGGTTCTCGTAGCGGACGATCACATTCATTGTATCCTCGATGCTGATGCCGTCGCTGAAGACGCTCTGGTCGCGGTAGTAGGAGTCCTCGTGCTCGGCGTCGAGGTAGAGGGCCTTGAGAGTAGGGTTGCGGTCGAGGTGGAGGGCGAAGGGGTCGTCCTGGGCGGCGGGGCTGCCGTGGGCGCGGGTGTAGAACTGGCGCACCCCGCGACTCTCCGCGTTCTCCTTGCCGTAGAAGCGCAGGTCGCCCTGCGCAAAGACGGTGGCCGGGCGCGACTGCAGCCACCAATTGACCAGGTCGAAGTGGTGGGTGGACTTGTGGATCAGCAGGCCGCCGCTGTTCCGGGCGTCGCGGTGCCAGCGCCGGAAGTAGTCGGCGCCGTGCTGGGTATTCAGCATCCACTCGAAATGCACACTCGTTACTGTGCCGATGGCTCCGGACCGAAGGACCTCGAATATCTTGCTGTTATGCGGCGCATATCGATAGTTGAAGGTAACGCGCACCTTCCGCTGCGTCCGCTCCACCGCGTCGAAGATCTCCCGGCATCGCGGCGCGTCGATCGTCATCGGCTTCTCCGTCACCACATTGCAGCCCAGCTCCATGGCCCGCACGATGTATGTGTGGTGCGTGCGGTCGATGGTCGTGACGATGATCTCGTCTGGTCGCGTTTCTGCCACCATCCGGTCGAAGTCGGCGGCCAGATAGGTTGGCACTACCCCTCCTCCGAGGCTCTCGACCTTGGAGCGGGCGTAGTTGAGCCGGGTCTGGTTGGTGTCGCACAGGGCCACCAGCTCACTGGTCTCGCTGAATTCGCGGGCCAGACTGGTGTAGAACATTCCGGCACGGCCCCCGGTGCCCACGAGGGCATATCGCCTTTTGGGCGACGAAGATGCTGTTCGTGTCATGTTGCAAAAATTCGGGACGCGGACGGAACGAGTAGACAAAGACATAAAGGCACTCCTTCTCTTCGAGCCAAATGCCTTGACATATATACAGCCGAGGTCATGTTTTTCCATCTCTCTCATGATTGGTGGCATTTAATAAGGTCGTATGCATATTCGAGGAGGGGGAAGGCAGTACATCAGCCGGATGATTTCAAATTGCCGGATGATGCGGGGGCGGGGCAAGCGGGTAAATTCCTGGGCAGGGGAGAAGCAGTCGACGGTTCTCACCTGCTTCACCCAGCAATAATGACAAATGACCATATTCTGTGATCTGTTCGAACTTGCATGGACATAATGAAGGAGAACCATCTCCCGCGCACATCATTCGCGGATTCTTTGTCTTCAGAAGCGGGGTTATACTATACAGACATATGCAGATCGCACGGCTAGAGGGTCGATGGCCAATATAAAGGCAAAGCCAAGAGTTCCTGGGCTCCGACCCAAGAATCAACAAAGCAGACCTCGCAGCAGAAGTCGTCCATCAATTCAGTCATTATCCGGCTCCAGTCAAAATGATGATCTCGAGGACGCTAGCCCTCTTGGCCAGTGTGGCCCCGGCTCTGGCAACCAAACCGGCCGCATTTTACTTGGCAGGTGACTCGACCACCGCGGCGCAGTCCTCTGGGGGTGGTGGGTGGGGAGTGGGATTCCTGGCCACGCTCACCGATGGTGCCATTGGCACTGACCTGGGGTATAACGGGGACACAACCGCGAGCTTTGTGGCGGGGGGCGCCTGGGCGAATGTCATCGATGCCGTCACCCGCAGTAAGGTCTCCTATCAGCCCTACGTGACCATTCAGGTAAGCAAGGGCCCACTCCCAACAATCAAATAAGTAGCGGTCATGGCCATCTCTGACGGACATCTATCTCGTATAATCTAGTTCGGCCACAACGATCAGAAGAACACCTCGGGGGTCACCCTCGAAGACTATGCCACGAACCTGCAGACCATGGCGGAGGCGGTAGTCACCGCTGGAGGAATCCCGGTACGTGAAGACATCCACATCATACCGTCACCCCTCAGACATTGGCATTATGACAAGGACCAACTAACCCACATTCATTTCTTCCCCCGGTGCCCAGATCCTAGTGACTCCCATCTCCCGCCGCACCTTCAACTCCACCACAGGAACGGTGATTGAGGACCTGGCCACCCAGCGCAACATCACCATCAGCGTCGCGGAGTCCATCGCCGTCGACTATATCGACCTGAATGAGGCCAGCACCGTGTACCTGGACGCCATCGGGGCCACGGACGCGGCCAGCTACAACCGGATCTCCACCGACTATACCCACCTGAACCCGGTTGGCAGCGTCGTTTTCGGCAACATGGTGAGCTGGCTGTTGCTGACCACCACCTCGCTGGCCGGCAATCTGGCCGACTATACCGTGCCCAACGCGGAGATCGTGGCCGCTATCGCCAATGGCACCTACATCTATCCCGAAGTGTAGGGAATAGCGAATGCGAGCATCGGGAAAGTGGAGGTCAGGTCGATCGGGAACGTTCGACTTCGGTCTGCGCAGATGGTGAGAAGGGCTGGTGGCTGGAGCTACTCTGTACCATCCTTTTCTTTACGCGTTCTTTGTGCTGGAGGTACTCGTGGGATAACTGAGAGCGTAATGGTAAATGGCCGATGTTTGATTTGTGTGAACAAGAGCCCGTTCTATAGGAGCAGTTTTACAGTCTCTACGTGAGTAGACAAAAAAATGTCCAGTCCAAGCATGAGATCTGAGGCTGTGGAGAAGACACGTTTGAGACATCCAACTTTACATCGCGAATTAGACGCAGGACAAGACATATGAACAGAGGCACAACAGTCACCGACCATAACAGTCGCATCCTAAATCGAACCTCGGAAAGAATTGGTGTGCATGACGCCCGGGAAATTCTAAAGATTCTAGCTGTTAAGGTTGCGAATGGCGGGTGCACGAAACGGAAGCGGGGGGCTCACCAGGGTATCGAACTCCATCCAGCTTGCCGACTCGGCGGCAGGACCGCTGCTGAGCTCCCCAGCGTCAAAGGCCTCGAGGCACGGAACTGAGATCCCAAGTAGCATGGCGTAGTCGGCGATGGTCATTTCCACCGGGTCGGGCGCAACGGGGACCCTCTGCGGGGCGTTATTGTTGGCGTAACGCTCGATCAAGCGCAACCCTTCCTGACGGAGCTCCTCCAGCACCGCCACGTACTGGGCCACCAAGGGGCTGTCGTGCACAAACCGCGTCAGCTGTTCGCAGCATCGTGTCGCCGCGTTAAGGTGCTGATAGTAGATCTCGACCGGGGCAGCCGCCTGCTGGATCGTGTGGACGAATAGCACCGTCGCGGCCGTGAAGGCATAGTAGCAGGTTGCCTAGATAAGACCGATCAGCTTCCGGCCGTACATGAGATAATCTCTCCATTGCGAAGGAAGGACCAACCTACCCAGAACGATCGATACATTGAACTGGTCTGAAACATGTGATAGATACGGTCGGCGATGCACAGCGCCGCCTGCAAGCACTTGCTGATGCCATCGTTCACCACCACGCCACCACCACCGCCGTCCCGCCCGGTCACGAAATTCGTCAGCAGCAGCGGTCGGTTGGTGAGGATGACGGCGTGCCAGTAGGTCAGGTTCAGGACGTCTCGCTGTCGTTGCAGGATGGGCAGCTGCGGCGCCGTGCTCCCGCTGTGCAACTGCAAAAAGCCCGGCAAGCTGTGGCGCCACTGCGACAGCCGATCCGAAAACTCTTTGGCCAGGCGGCATTGGTCAGCCAAGGCGATGGGGCGGATTGCATAGAGGTGGCGCAGGATTAGTCCGAGGACCCGATGAAGTCTGCTCAGAACCATCAGCTCAGCTCAAAGATGCAACAGCGCCTTGAGTTTCAATACCCGGAGGCCACGGGGGGCGATGGGTGGTGGTATATCCTACCGGTAGTATAGGACTGGCGCCATCATCACCGAGTAGCCCGTGGGCACCGTGAATTGGAGGTCGACGGGCTCGTCAACGAGACTGTGGTCCGCGGGCAGCTCCTGATCGATGTCTTCGTCGTGGAAGATGCGCGGTCGGCCCAGCGTCAGGCAGAGGTGGATGTCCAGGCAGTAAGCAGTCCAGAAGGTGCGGCGGCGGCAGTCAAGAGTGATGCGACTTGCCGGACTATCCGCGGGGGGGTTGATGATGCGCTTCCGGTGCAGCCCTAACGCCAGCGCCAGGCGGGCAGTCGTGCCGAATAGACTCCAGCAATGGTTGACTCGGGACCGGGCCAGCAGCCAGAAGCATTGGTAGAGACGCGCCTGCACGCTGGCCAGGCAGACGGTCGCCCGTTCCCTGGCGAGCTGATAGTCGGCGGCGAGGAAGTACCGAATACTAATTTTCGGCCTCTGTCAGTCTAGAACAACCATGAGCTCGCAACAAGAATGGTGCGTATGTGGATACGAACCTTCTGTCCTCACCGTTCGGGAGCGGATCTTGGTTGAGATGCTCCTGCGCCATCGCAAAGATCATCCAGAGGACGGCGCGCCGGGCGGGGGCATCCACGGCATGTCGCATGGAGCCCATCGTCTCGTGGAACTCGCAGAGCCACTCCTCGACCATCGGCTGGTGCACCATCCGATCGATCGGCACGGTGAAGTCGAAGAACCGCCGGAACAGGATGGTGCTCTCCTTGACAGAGAGCATGACGGAGGGCGTGGCGTCGTCGTACTCCGGCAGCGGCGCATCGCCAAAGGTGAAGGCGGATTGCGAGCCCTCGCTGGACCGGAGGCGCTCCCGGACACAGGCCAGGAAGGAGACCCCCGAGGCCGGACCAACATAGTGGCCCTCGAGATCATTGATACCTTCCAGTGATGCGTGGGATGCGGGCTCCCTCGCTGCGTTTACCCGAGCGTTCGCCCCGGCCAGGTCGAAGAGGCCTGGCGACGACGGTAGGTCAGTCTGGCGATCTCTGACTTCCGAGCCGGGGTGGGTCTCGACTGCTTCATCGATTGTATGCTGGTCATTGCTCAAGGAGATGGGTGTCGTCGCCATCTCCGCTCGGGGTTTCCGTCCCCGTTTGTGCGGAGCAGCAAAGATGCAGCTCGTGTGGTCTCGGATGCAGTGCGGGCATGGCTTGGTGCCGGTACATCGGATCTTCCTCCTGCAGTGCCGTGCATTTGATCAGACATGCAGTTGGGTCAAAACAGAGACACAGAATGCACGAATATCAGAGCGTACTAACTTCTTGCAGTGTTCGCAAGCACGCGAAGCTCGCAGTCGCCGAGACAGCGCGCCACTCGTTCTCGCCGGCGTGGGACCAGAAGCAGAGCCAGGGCTATCTCCATCGAGAATCGATGGATTAATCCGTCCAGAATCCATAAGTTCGGTGCCAATCTGTCGCATATTCGGCTTCAATCAGAATCTGGAGTGTGGTACAGGACAGAAAAACGGCAAATACTGTACAGCGAGGAAGGTAGAGCTGGCAGGGAGAATGTCTGATTATCCGAATACCCTCGGATGGAATGCCGCCGGATATTTGGAATGGAGTAATAATCTATTAATTGACGGGAAACGGATAATTGGCGGACACGGGTCGGCTATTTTGATTTATTCAATCTACATACGCATGCCAGTGGGTCTTTAGCCTCGTTAAGATTTTTAGTCATTCATTAGCCTCGGAAGTGAGTCTCCATCATCGGGGATAACTGCCAGGCCCTATAGCGGGGCGAACCGCCAAAGAAACCCGGGGAAAATATGAGGAATATGTGTATGACCCCGCATATTTCCCCGTGCTGGTGTGATTTTATTCTGTAGATATCGCAAGGGGGAAGGGGATCACAATAGGACTATTACACTATGGCATTTCCGACTATAAAGCCGGGCTTCATGCAGCAGCCCTTCACCTCGGTCTAGCATGTTGAACAAGCATCGCTTTGTTCAATCCTTCGTCGCTCATTCTCTATCACTATGGCATATTTGCCTGCAGCCGCCGCCTTCCTGACGGCCTTATTTTCCGGGTCTGCCTACGCCGCGACGGCCTACATCGACCCGGACCTCACCCCGTCTTTCCCCACCGTGGATCCGATTTCCTATGTTGATACCAGCCGGACGGAGTATGATCGAATTGTGCTCAATGTCAACGGCAAGCCATTTTTTTACAACGGGGTGCAGCTGCGCGTCGATAAGATGAAGAGCCAGTGGAACATGACGGATGCGCAGATCAGCCCTTTCTTTCAGCGTGTCGCCAACGACGGATTCACCGTGGTGAACTCGCAGATCACCTGGTGGGACATCCAGCCAGACACCTACTACAATGCCACCGAGTCGACCTACATCCGGGGCGGCAGCTACACGGCCACCAATTACGCTGACGAGGCCTCGCACGAGATCGGCTACAACGCCAGCGACGCGTCGCAGCAGGAGCTGACCTACCTCAAGTTCGATTTCACGGCGTATACGCTGGACCAGATCGATGCGGTCAAGGTGCGTGTTTACGTCAATGCCGCTCCCGATGGCGATGTGGCCTTCTCGGCCAACCTCTACGGCATCACCAACAACACTTGGTCTGCCGACACCCTAACCTGGAGCAACGCCCCCAACCATGATGGCATTCAGGTCCAGGGCACGAACGGCACCGACTACTGGTTGACTGCCAGCAACCCCTCGTGGGACCCGATCAACGAAGCCTCGTACTATGATTTCGACGCCTCTGATTTCATCGTCAATCACTGCCCCGACGGCATCGCTAGCTTCATCCTACAGCCGCAAGTGAACGACACCGCCGTGACCAACGGAGCCACCCTCGACGGCGTGCGTGGGACGTACCCACCGGAGCTCTGGCTCTCGAGCAGCGATAGCTGGAACTTCGATCACGTTGACAACGTGCTTGACTGGGCGGGCGCCGCGGGTCTCAAGATGGAGTTCCTTTGGTTCGGCTCCGACACGACCAGCGCCACGGTGGACTTCCGTGTCCCGTACTTCGTCTACCGACACGTACTTGTCCAGAAGGTGCAGTCGGACGGCACGGTGGTGCCGGCGATGCTCAAGATGCAGGGTTACGGCCAGGGAGTGTACTGGTACCTGACCGACAAGAACGACCTCGCGCTGCGGGCGCTGGAGAAAACGGCGCTCAAGACGCTCCTCAACCACGTGGCCGAGTACAACGCGGCCAACGGGGACCTGAAGACGCTGGTGGGAGTGGACGTGGCTAACGAGAATTCAGTGACGCACATTCATGGCGTGGGGGACACCGTCTACCACAACCCGCTCACCTGGGGCGCCTACGGCAACTTCTCCTCCCAGGCCGCCTTCGTCGCACGCACCGAGTGGGAGTACTCGGTCAACCTGGCCAACGGGGTCAAGGAGTCGAATTATCCCGTGTGGACGCGGCTGAACACCTTCACCACCGCCGAGGAGAAGTCGATCGACTACAACGAGGCCCAGCGGTTGACGACGGGCACCAGCCTCGACTTCGTCGGCCTCGACCCCTACTCGACCTCGACGTCGGTGCTGTACGCCTACGGCCATGAGACCGTTGCCATCGGCGGCTCAGACGAGAATTGGGCCAGCGGGTCCAATCTGCCCATGGTCATGGAGAACTCGGGTGCCACCTCCTCCGCCGAGTCCCTGCTGATGGCCTCGCTGGCGGGCGGCGCCTTCTACAACGTCTACGAGTACATGGGCCCGGACAACTATGGCCTATACTACCCCAAGAGCACCACCACGCGGGACTTTACCCCGGTCCCGCGCAGCTCCTACGTCGCCGATGTGATCGCAACCAACAAGCTACTCAAGGCACTCGCGCTGGACCTCTCGACCAAGCTGCCCGCCGGCGCCGGCGGCACCCGCCTCGTCTACTTCAACCCCTTCAGCAACAGCACCCTTGACCAGCGCAGCATCGGGGACTTTACCGTCAGCTACAGCCCCGCCTCTACTGGCGGCGTGGGCATTGGCATCCTCCGCAGCGACCAGACTCTGCTCCTGGCCAGTACGCGCAACTCCACCTTCACCGTCGCCGGCCTGTCCACCTACGGCATCAGCGCCGTTGAATATGGCTACTACACCTCGGCCGGAGACTTCGTCGCCAATGGCACTGTCACCTACACCTCCACCTCGACCGGTCTCACCGTCCCGGTTCGCCAGGATCAGCTGGTTCACATTGAGACGAAGACGGCCTTCACCCTGCCCTAAGTGGGTCGTACCGTGGTGGTGGGTAGGTAGCATGGGCACCCATTGCTCTTGGGAAGTAGTGGAACACACTCAATGTAAATAATTTTAAGTCCTCCGTACAGTCCCCTAATTCACGAATGACAACTCCTGTGGGCTGTGGACATAGCTTCTAAGTTTAAAAAGATACCTCATGTATAAAGTTGTGATCGGTGCTGGTAAGAGTGCCGGGACCTTCCGAACCACCCAAGCCCTTCAGCCTTCACCCACCCCGTCCACTTCAGCTCTCACAAACGAGAGCTGCGTCTCCATGACGTCGCCACATTCCCACCACAGATCTCCCTCCCTTTCAGACGCGACTCTGACCTGGCCAAAGAAACAAAAAAAAATTAAGTTTCCCGAACACGAGCACATCCGTCGTCCGCGACCACAGATAAGCATTCTTCATCCCTTCTGCGGGTTACCCCGCACCGCGAAGATGTCAGATAAATGCGTACGACCTCTCGAACAATGTCTGTCCGCTCCATCGTTCGCTCCACCCTGCAACGGCAGCGCCTGCTCACCAGAAAAATGGCCACCGTCGCAGCACCCACGCACTACGACGCCATCATCATCGGCTCCGGCCAGGGCGGCACGCCCCTCGCCAAGGCCTTGGCCGAGGCCCAGCACAAAACCGCCCTGATCGAACGCGCCCACGTCGGCGGCTGCTGCGTCAACGAGGGGTGCACACCCACGAAGACCATGATCGCGTCTGGCAGGGTCGCGGAGCTGACGCGCCGGGGTCCGGGGTACGGGGTGCATGTGCCGGGGTTGTCGCGGAGCGACACAGACGAAAGGGACCAGGACCAGAGCCAGAATCCTATTGTGATTGAGATGGAGCGGGTCCGGCAGCGGAAGCGGGAGATCGTGGAGTCGTTCCGCAGCGGAGGAGAACGTCGATTGGAGGCGGCTGGGGTCGATGTGTTGATGGGGGAGGCGAGCTTCGTGGATGGGAGGACGCTGGCGGTGGCGATGCGGGATGGCAGCAGCAAAATGGTTACCGGCGGGACGATTGTGATTAACACCGGGTGTCGGCCGTCGGTTCCGCAGATTGAGAATCTTGATGCGATTCCGGGGGACCGGGTCTTGGATTCGACCTCGGTCATGGAGTTGGATCGCGTCCCCGAGCATTTGGTGGTGGTTGGTGGCGGGTATATTGGGGTCGAGTTCGGGCAGCTGTTTCGGAGACTCGGGGCTAGGGTTACCATCCTCCATCGCGGGACGCAGCTGTTGCTGCGCGAGGATCCGGAGCTGGCCAGGCTGCTGCTCGATGTCTTTCGGGAAGATGGCATGGACGTTCTGCTGGAGACGACGCCCGTTCGTCTTCAGCCGGTCACCGACGAGGGCTTTGATGTTTCGATCAGGTCCAAGCAAGGTGACCGAGTCTTAAGCGGCGTCACGCATATCCTCTTCGCGGCTGGGCGCGTACCGAACACTGAACAGCTAAATCTAGATGCCGCAGGTGTTAAGATCGACAAAAAGGGCTATATCGCCACCAACGAATTTTTGGAGACATCTGTGCCTTCCATCTATGCGCTGGGTGATGTCAAAGGCCCTCCCGCGTTCACGCATGTCTCTTACGACGACTTCCGGATCCTCAAGTCAAGTCTCTTAGTAACCCACCCGCCAGCGGCGAAACAGTCGACGAGAGGGCGGTTGGTACCCTATGTGGCGTTCACTGATCCTCAGTTCGCGCATGTGGGATTGCACGAGCATGAGGCACGAGAAAAATACCCCGGCAAAAGGATCCTCACTGCGCTGATGCCGATGAGCTATGTAGCACGGGCCTTGGAGATTGACGAGGTCAGAGGAGCCATGAAGGCGGTCGTTGATGGAGAGAGCAAGCTCATCCTGGGATTCTCATGCTTGGGGGTCGAGGGCGGGGAGCTGATGAGTGTCGTGCAGATGGCCATGGCGGGGAACTTGTCGTATGAGAAGTTGCAAGATGGCATCTTTGCACATCCCACTCTTGCAGAATCCTTGAATAATCTTTGGACGTTTTTGAAGTGACTCGTTGCTGGTGGAAGTGGATTGTTGTGTCATTCACTGGCCAGTTGCCTCCAAATATATAAGGGGTCAAGCACTGGTTCCATGTTCTGGGTGCATGGTGGAACTGCTGACTACCATGGGACTTCACGGCACGTAAAAAGCTAAATACAGACTGAATAGGAAGACGCTCGTTGAACTATTTATTGTGTTACGTTAGTTCTATAAACTAGATGTTGAACGATTTTCGCGGTGGGAAGACTAAAAAGCGGCAAAAAAATGACCAGACTGGGGCTCGATCCCAGGACCTTATCGGTGTTAACGATACGTGATAACCAACTACACCATCCGGCCAGTTACATTGGAAAAGGCACAGAAATTGCATCTAAGTACAGAGGAGCAGGCGAAAATCTAGATCAAGCCGCAGAACACAGCGAATCATACTAAGGGTGAGGCTAACCTATGTCCTGATCTTCGAAACGTAGCCAACATTGTTGATGTGAGGCTCATGGGGCTGTCGGAAAAACTTGGATGGTGATCCGTTGCCGGACAAGATCATCAGCAAATGTTGACATAACAAGTATGCTACGATTGGGGAGTTGGCCGCATCCACAGAGACGCTCTTGCATGGAAGAAATAACCGCAGAGAGACCGAAGCCAAAAACCCATGCACACCGCGATGGCGTATGGTTATGGGGTGCATTGTTCGTGGGCTTTGGAAACGTTTCCGATCTTGGTGGGGGTTTGTGCTCGGTCGCACCAGCCAAACAACTAAGCCTGAAGTGGCTAGTCATAGCCGTGGTGGCATGGGTCAAAAGACTCAAAACAACTTAGCGGATATCTCTTCCAAAAAGACCTTCTGCCAGAACCTGGAGAAATGCGGGCTTCCTCAGATGCTTGCATCAGGAGAGCCAGAGCAATTTGGATTTACTATCGAGTGGTATAGACATTCCACAGGTTGAAAAGAAAGCCGAGGCTCTGCAGATTGCGATCAAACAGAAATGCAAAGTGGTCTCGGACAACCGACAAGGGAGAAAAGCATATCACCATGGGCATGAATATTAGTTAGTACCAGGTAGGGTAAACTGTAGTGGATATTCGAAAGCGGTGAAGCTAAGCAGCGACTAGGTTACCTAATCACCGTACCTACTGAGTAAGTTACCTGTTGGTTTGTTTGCGGTGTTCGGATCGGAATATGACTCCGGCTATGGCACACAGTCGGAAATGTAGCAGTAACGCGAATGATAGCCACAAAGTAGGTAGGTAGCTTTCCCTGACGCGGGATCAGTGAAACGCAAATTCTCCCACAATGTGCCAATTCTGGACTCAGACGTTCCGAGCGACGGACCAAAAGAGCTCGAACCCGACGGCCTAGTTCGATTCTTCGTGTATTCATTGATGCCGAATGTGGAAAACAGAGCATCAGTGTGCCGAGGATGGTTGAACACGAGAACACGAGATGGAATGCAGGCGAGAAAAAACATCATTTAGGCCCGCAAACTCTTCTTATGAGTGCTGCGTATCTTTTCGTACTCAGGCAGAGCCCATTTTACCATCCACTCCGACTCCAGAACCTATCGAGCAGAAGGACAATCCTCCGGCCGAAAAGGAAGCATCGAGCGCAACATCGAGGAAAGTGTACCTCGTTCACTCGAGTCAAAGGGTGACATACCCTCTTTGATCCGTGGTCGCTGCACGTTCGATTCAAAGCGATCCTCCAGTGTCCGACGTGGGGAACGGGATGGGTTGATCGGCTCTCCATGCTCGGTGAAGTGGTCTTGACGAGCTCCCCACTTTCCCCACCATTCAGTCGCCAACAAGCCAAGTGCATCAATCTGCTGGCAAGTCTATCGTCTTCGTTGGTAAGAAAGCCTTCGAAAATGGGTTTTTGGGCAATGATGTCCCAGATGGTGCAGGCAAGAGTCCAGATATCGGATGAAAAAGTGAGAGGTTTAGTGGGCTCAAACCGAGCCTCCGGAGGGCGGATCGAAAGAGGAGTATGAGACTCGGATTTCATTTCTCGCGCCGGAGAGGATGCCTCACCAAAGACTGAAACGATAATCCTGGCTTCAGGAAGTGTGATATTCTCACTTGCTTCCCCAAGCTAGATAAGTAACACGCCGTATTGTGGGACGCCTGGTGGGAGCGTTTGGCCGTCTAGACGATTGACTGGTTCAAGTAGCGGCTCCCCATACTGCTCGTATAGCCGTTTTGTGGAAAGCTGATCAAAGTCACGACGCAGTTGAAGTAGGATGTTTCCGCAATGAAGATCTCCATGGACGAAGCCCCATGAATGAATATAATGGATAGCAATCGCAGGCTGCGCCGCTAAGACTCGGGCCACTTCAAGCTGGAAAAGGCTGATCCAAGATCCGTTCTTTGCGTCAGAAAGACTCATCCTGGCCGGCTTAGTCACCAAACAGATGTGTTTGTTCGCCATTTGGGCCTTGAATGTTGAATTCATTCAAGATTGAGGGGATCATAGTTCTGCCTATGTCTGACAACAAGGGAGGTTTCGAGAGTTCCGATATGACGTCAATTTCGGGCGGTTTCGAATCTGCCGTATAGACTTTCACTGCAACGTATATGCGAGATCGCTCATCTCGGGCCAGCCAAATCGTCGAGTATGTCCCATGCCCAACTTATGGATAACTCGATAGCGACCGTGGAGACGATCCCGATTGTTACTGGGTGATAGCCACCGTGCTGATAGTATTCCATTCTTTCTAAATCTTCAATAGGCTCGTACAGAACACGAGTTGGGTTCATTGTTGGTACCGTTAGTTTGAAGGTAGCGAGAGAAGATGCACGAGAGCTTCGACCGTGAAGATACAGTGGGTTTGCGTTCATTGAGAAGAGACCTCGACGAGGAAGAAATCGGGGCGAGAGCAAGGGCCTAGGGAGCAAGATACATCGTTTGTTCATGTTCTTATCTCTCACTTTTTTTTTTATCTTTTTTTCTCTTTTTTATATCTTGTCTTTCTTATGCAAACAAGGCCTTGTCATTTCGGAGTGAATGGCCAATTACGTTAGCCTTATCTAACACGTAGAGGAACGCTCCTTAGGTACTACCAACAATCCTTTGACAGGTCATCAGTCCAATGCTCACGGTCCGTAGCCATGAGCTCGGTGATCTAGATCAATGGCAATAATGTCTTGCAGGAAGAGATCAAGCGGCAATAGCCCTCGGGGAACTTTATGGCAACCCGCACGGGGACAGCAGGTCGCCAATCGACGCTAAACCAAATTCAGGCTGTGACCCGTGACCAGAAGGCTCAGTGTTATTAGACCACCTATAGTAAGTAACCTACTGTATGAGTTAGCTGCTACAGGTCTGCGTAAAATGGTGCCCGCTCACTTACCCGACTGTGCAACTTGGGCCGTCAAATTAAGGCTTGCGGTCCAGCTTCTTACCCACCGCCACACCTTTGCCTCCCCGGCCTCCCAAGAGAGCTACACAACTAGTAGTGAGACTAGTGAAAAATTGAGTTAGTTAGTCGGTCACGGGACCGGCGCCCATGTGCTGACGCAGCGACGCTGCGCCTTGAGAAGCTAAGATCGGCAACAAACGGCCCTCTCACCCCGCATTTGCTACCAAACCCCAGCCCGTCTGCAAACTTCCCAGTTTTGCTGTTTGTGTTGGGAAAAGAGAATCGTATGGAAGTTGAGAGAACCCTGAGGTCTTGGAAACTCTACTCGAGAAAAGTTTAGGGCTAAAGAAGTGTACAGTACACCATAAAAAAAGCTTGGGGGCATATCCAACGGTCATGTGACGATCGCGTTCACCACCGCACCGTGCGGACTGGCGACGACTCGGACGCGCCGATGGTCAAGTCAAGTTATAGTCTACTGCACCTGTGACCTGAGCGGCGAGAAGTCTCGGGGAGCGATTCGGGTACGATTGAAATCCAGGCCGTCCGTCAGCAATCATGTTTGCCATCGTAGACCGGGATTGTGCTCATCCGCTCCCGGATTGAGGCAATAACCAGGATCACTTAGCAGCAACCCGGCAAAGCGCAGCGAAAGGGCAGCCAAAGTCAAGAGGCTAGTGTCGAATCCCGGTTATGATTCGCTGCCGAAAATCCCCCCAGGATTCTAGTTGGTGACCCCGGATGTAACTTATACATGTCACCTTCCAATTATTAGTCAGTGGGGTCACGGCAAGACCGAAACGGCGAAAACCGCCGCCAGACCGGAGGGACGGAGGGACAGCGAGCAAGAAAAGCTTCCCGGACACGGCACAATCCTCAACGGAAAACCTATCGGCTTTTCGAGGCTAAGGGGAGGAAATTGGGAAATTGGTCAGGACAGCCTTTCTCATGTCAGCCACATACATCATTATACCTGATTGTAGGTCGTTTGTCTATTGAGGTGGGATTACGCTATCCATCTCCGGCTTTGTAACAGAAAGCCAGAAACCTTGTCTTTTGAGCCGCCAATCAGGCGCGGTGGTTCTACCCTGGAAACCTTGGGAGGCTTTGTGGTACTATCGTGGTCGACCACGTTCCAGCGACCACCAGAGATCTGGGGATCCGGGGTATGTCCGATTTCTGGAGTATCTGGTCTGTGTGTGCGTTTGTGGAATGTGGAGGTTGCGGAGAAGAGCAGAGAAGCAGGAGCCCAGGCGCTTTGAGCGCCGGAAGTGGGGTTTGCGGCAAAAGCCACCAGCCGCCCAATCCTGCAGCCAGCCAAGCCCTAACTGGGTGTCAGATGGGCATACGCTCGTATGATCGGTCTCGTTGCTAGTGCTGACAATGCTACGAGACCGTGTCCCCATGCCCTTTGTATGTACATACAGTACGGAGTACTGTAATTACCCCACGGGGAGGTAGGGTGAATGAATTTGCCTATATGCGGTGAATGAGCCACTCTTTTTTTTTTTAACCCCCCCCTTAGTTTCTTCTTAAATCCCCATGAGGTTTTCGTCAGCAGAGATCTTCCCCAGACCAACTTCCTCTCATCCGCCTCAGACTGATCCATCCACCATGAACGAAAAGACGTCTGCGGACGTGATCTCTCACAATGAGAATGTGGTCCCGATCACCAAGCCCGAGCTGCCTCACGCGGCTCGCGGGCCAGCCCTCAATCTGATCGAGAACCCCCTGACGGTGAGCATCGCACGTGTTGAACTTGTGACTTCGGAGACACTGACTGTTCATCTCGCTGGAAGCGCAAATCTCCAGAGCAGGTTGTTCTCGACGCTCGCGCGTTCGCCGACTCTCACGACATGTCCGAGCACGCCGATCTCCTTGGTCGTGCTGCCCTGGTCGCGCGGGACCCTCAGCGGTTCGAGTCGATCTCGGAACTCGACGACCAGGAACGCGCTGCGCTCGTCTACGAGAGAGATCACAAATGGCATGGCCCGTTCATGCTCTGGTACTCGATTGCTCTGTGTGCGATTGGCGCTGCGACACAAGGTTGGGATCAGACCGGGTCCAACGGGGCGAACCTCTCTTTCCCCCAGGAGTTTGGCATCGCTGGGGATGGCAAAGATGAATGGATTGTGGGACTGGTCAACGCCATCATTTTCTTGACGGCTGGGATGATGTGAGTGTCGAGAGTCCCCAACATTGCTTTTTTTTTTCTTTTTCGCTGCTTCGCAGGGCTGATTTGTGATCTTTGTGATCTTTACAGTGGCGCCTTCATTGTCGATCCGCTCAACCACTACCTGGGCCGAAGAGGCGAGATCTTTGTCACTGCGTGCTGTCTGACCGCCACCCCCATCGGATCTGCATTCGCCAAGTCGTGGCAGGGATTGTTCGCTGCTCGATTCGTGATGGGTATTGGGATTGGAGCCAAGAACGCGACCGTCCCGATCTACTCGGCGGAGATGGCGCCTGCGCGCATTCGAGGCGCTCTGGTCATGTTCTGGCAGTTGTGGGTTGTCGCAGGTGCGCCACTCTCTCCTCATCCACCGGATCTGGTTACCACTCGTATACAATACTGACCTCGCCGATCAAGGTATCTTCTTGGGCTTCGCCGCCAATGTCATTGTCAAAGACACCGGTCGCATCGCATGGCGCCTGCAACTTGGATCCGCATTCATTCCCTCCTTCATCCTAGGGCTGGGGATTTTCTTCTGCCCGGAATCCCCTCGCTGGCTGATGAAGCACGGTCGGTACGCCCAAGGGTTCAAGTCGATGCTGCGTCTGCGCGCCCACCCCATCATCGCCGCCCGAGACTACTACTACTCGTATGTGATCTACGAGGAGGAACTCCGGGAAGCGCGGGGCGCGGGCTACTTTTCTCGCATGTGGGATTGCTTTGCCGTGCCTCGCATCCGCCGGGCCAACTACGGCGCCTCCACCGTCATGATCGCCCAGCAGATGTGCGGCATCAACAGTATGTTGGTCCGAGACTTGCTCAATACCAGGTAGACTGATGTCTGACACTCCGTAGTTATCTCGTTCTACAGCTCGACCATTTTCGAGAACGCCGGATATAGCGCGACCCAGGCGTTGTACGCCTCGCTGGGCTACGGCGCGATCCAGGTCGTCTTCACCATCCCGACCGTGTTCCTGATTGATACCAAAGGACGCCGGACTCTGACCCTGATTGTGAGTGGAATTCTGTTTCTGTCTCTGTCTAAGGTCTGAGTGATGATAAGAGACCGCCAACTAACGCTCCATCTAGACTTTCCCCCTCATGTGCATCTTTCTCCTAGCAGCCGGTCTCTCCCTGCTGAAAGACACGGGTAGCAAGGGTGCGCAGATTGGCCCCGTCGCTCTGTAAGTTCCCCAGCCCACCTTGGATAGCATCCAGTATGACTGACCACAGCGAAGGTTCGTCTACCTCTTCACCATCTGCTACTCCCTGGGGGAAGGGCCGGTGGCGTTCCAGTACTCGGCCGAGGTGTTCCCGACCATCCAGCGTGAGCAAGGCATGGCCTGGGCTGTGTGCATCAACAACACCTTCGGTAAGCCCTTCTATTCTTCGTATAACCAGAATCAATCAGCCCTTGCATCTAACAGTCACCCAGCTGGTATCCTCAGTTTGACCTTCCCTCGGATGAAGACCGTCATGACTCCCACCGGTGCCTGTAAGTGAAAGAAGACTCGATTAACTCAACGCGAGGACATGCCCTAACTCTCATCACTTCCTCTAGTCGGATTCTACGCTGGTCTGAACCTGATCGCCTGGTTCATGATCTTCTGTTTCGTGCGCGAGACCAAGCAGCTCACCCTGGAGGAGATCGATCGTAAGTTCCTCGCGGTCATTCTCATACACTTGCTCAGTAACGGTTGCTAATTGCCTCTGTGACAGAGGTCTTCTCCGTCCCAACGAAGAAATTCATCAACTACGAATTGACGGTGTGGCTGCCGTGGTTCATCAAGCGATACATCTTCCGGCAGAAGATCGAACGCCCGCCCCCGCTGATCGCGACGGCAGGACATTCCGAAGATGTTGTCCAGGTCTTGTAGTCTGTTCGTAAGATCTGCGCACAAAAGATTAAGGGGGGAAGAAACGTCGGAGCGGGCTGCTCTCTGGTGAAGGAAGGTCGCTGGATGCAGTTCTAGAGCTCTACTGAAATAGTTGCGTGAGCTTGGCCACCAGGAGGAGAAATATTCACATACAGGCATATCAAGTCTTCAAGTTCTCCATCTCCGGGCTTTTCCTTCAAGTGTTAAATTGCCACCACGAATAACACCCGATATGTTGATATCCCCGCGTAGTCAGCCAAATCTCCCAATCGCTCACGCTCACCCCGTAACAGCATACACACAACACCCTTCACCCTTGCCCATCTCAGTAAACAGGAACAGCCCCTCACTCACTCCCCAAACCCACCCTCCACCCCGTCTACCCCATCCACCGGCCCTATCTGCGCCACGATAGACAGGAACTCCGCAGACGAGATCCCAATCTGCTCCAAAAACTCCACATTCGCCAGCTGCGGATCCTCCACCGCCGTGAACGACGGACCACCCAACTCCTCCTCCCCGACCACCCCATCGCCGTACCCCGCCAGCCCAGCGCCAGCGGCGACAGAGTGCCCAGCCTCACCCCCTTGCATAACCCCCGCCGGTACCTGCAGACTCGCCGGTGTATGCGTATGCCACGAGGAAGAGGAAGGGCGGCCGGGGCGGTCGGGGCGACGACCCCGGCCCGCCACCGACACCGCCACCTCGTCCAGCAGCCGCTCGAGGTGCATCAGCCCTTCCTTCCGGGCGAGCGCGATGCGGTTGCCGTGGTAAATCATTGCGTCGAGGATGAAGTGCGCTTGGTGGCTGGGACTGGGGCTGGGACTGGGGCTGGGACTGGGGCTGGGACTGGAGGGACTATCTGGTGTGGGGGCAGTGTCGAGGAGTTCCGGGAACAGGGTGCGGGCCAGGGCAAGGTGAATGGCGGCGTCGTAGGTGAATTCGAGGTCGTAGAGGAGGAATACTTCTTTATGTTGCGAGGTTGTTTAGTTAGGTTGTGGCTTTTTCTTTTTCGTCTGTTTGGGAAGGGGAACAGGGGGGAAGGAAAAGGTACACCCACCGAGAAGACTGTCGGTGCCGGAAAGGATCTCGATGGTTTTGACGGCGGATTTGATGCCGATGCACAGGAGGGGCTTGGTGAGGGCGAGAAAATCTTTGGTGTCGAGGCCGTCGTGGGTGAGGGTTTCGAGGCGGTCGATCAGGGCGGAGAGGAGGAGGGGCCGGGTGGCTACGATTACGCACTGGGTTGGTGGTTTGTATGAGTGAGTGAAATTCGTTTCCAAGGGGTGGGCCCGAGGGGGTCAGGTGTTGGGAGCGATGGGGCTGGCGAACCTGGTGATATAATAGGGTGATGTGCTGCGTGCCTCGGGGCATCGTGTCCAGCGAGTTGCGCAGTCGGATCTGGATGATCTCCTCCATTTCCTGGGCGTGTCCCGCCAGGGTCTGGAGGATCGATTTCGTGGTGTCCAGAAAGACGTGCAACTGTGTTCTTTCCGCATTGTATACCGCTTCGAACCCGGTTAGGGCACCGTTCGTCGGGTGGCAGGGGAACGAACTCACTGCTCAGAATATACGACAGCAGTCGGGACAGCTTCGCGTGGAGACTCAGAGCAAGATCCTGCTGGGAGCAGTGCTCTGGAGGATCGATTGGCGTGCTGATATCCCGATCCTGGGTGGTCATCGGCAGTCCGACCGAGTAGGAGAAGTGCCGGTCCATGATGTACAGCGTCCACCAGAGACTACGACATCGGGCCACGGTCTTGGACCCCAGCTGCTCCTCGGAGAGCTGGGTGTGCATGCCTTCGTATTGTGCGATTCGGATCGCTTGCCCGAGCTGCAGCATTCGACTTAGTACAAATCCTACCCGTGCGCATCGAAGGAAGGTCTGGGCCACCGGTACACTTACATATATATGGGCGGATTCCCTTTGGTCGATCGAATATAGGTACAGACTGGCCAGGGCCAGTACCTCTATCGCCAACAAGCTATCCTTCCACAGAGACGCATGGTCAGGCATCAAAGACATGGCGCGGGCGAAGAACCGTGAGCCCGGGGGCTGATCCGGGCTTTTCGACCGACACAGCAGAGCTGTTCCAAACGATAAGACCAGAAGGAGCTGGATGAACCAAAGGCGGTATTCTGTGGCTACTGCGACGGGGTTACCGTGGTAGAATTCCTGCAGACGCTCGACGAATTGCTCTTCGTTGAAGAAGCGCAACTGTCCTAAATGGAACTTCACCGTGTTGAATAGGTACAGCGAGTAATCGAGAGACGGCAGGTCGGCTATGTCCGGAGGTCTGCTGGCTGGACGAACCTCCCAGCGGAGGGGATAGATTTCGTTGGCTCGCAAGGTCGGGGCGTTGTGGGGATATTGATGATGCAACTTCTCTGTCATCAGGATGGTGAGGCGGGTGGTGAATGACCACATGGACGACGGTGCCAGCCAGACTAGGACCATAGTTAGACGAGTTCTCGAACATGCAGATAGAAACATACTCCACGTTCGCTTGTTATCCTTTGTGTTCTTGATGGTCGTCGACGGGAGAGCGAAAGGACTTGTCCAGGTGCTTCGCTGTTGGCTCACAGGTGACGTTTCTCGCGAGGGTGCGGAACCGGAGGTTGACAATGCAGCTTCAGTCGGACAGCTGTCTCTAGCCACCGTAGGTGTGTCCGAAGGAGACATGATCGGATTCTTCATGGTGGCCAGCGCCTTCTGGCTACGAACCTGCGCCTCCAAGCGTCGCAGATATCTGGTGCAGGGCTTCTGTTACCATCTGGGAGCACGAATGACCTCTGGCCACAATGGACGAACCTCTCCGAGACCACGACCCGGTTGACGCCCTCCGCAAACTCACATCGCACCGAGCGCCTCTGGCAATTAATGCAGGGCTCTTCACCTGAGCATTTTATCTTGCTCTGACGACATGCGACGCATCTGGCCGGCACATTAGAACACGATCAACGATTTGGGGGATAGACTGACGCGTTTGCAGTTCTTCGGGCTTTACGGGCTGATGCTTGCATATTCTCACTTCGACAAAGGTCTAGAGGTATTACAGACATGAAGAGTCAAAGAACACGTTGCCTTCTTGGACTCGATTTCTGCCAGCTAAGGTGGAAAAGAGCCGGCTGGTCGGCAATTCGGGTTTGTTGATCGGGAGCGATAAGAAGTGGCATGCGAGCAGATCACTACCTTACACTTCTTTACCCCGCATTTTAGGTCGCCCAGGATACCAAAGTCAGTTAGTGCATATCTCTCACCGAGAACGAGATTGACAGATACGGTACGAGAGTCAACCAATTCTGCTAGTGTTGCTGGGTGCGGCACTGCTGCTGGTTCTGCCTTATCGCCTCTCGGGAGACTCATCCGAGACTACTTAGATAAGTACTTCTGCACAACCATGCATTAGATTAGTGAAAGACTCTTTTATTGGTTCCTGGGTCCTGAGTATCTCATTCCGGCCATCTCAGTGGATCGAAGCATATTACTGAATTGTGAGTGACTCTCCATTTGCCAAGAGACCGCAAGCCCCCTCACATCCGACTGTCCACATCACCCGTAATCTGTCCTTTCCTCCAGCCAACCAGTTGCAGTAATTCCGCGAAGAACCCGGCTGGAGGCGACGTCAGGCTGGCCTCGTACGCATCAACAAGCGGGATTTCCCAGACCAGATCGACATCTTTGGGATCGACCATCCGGGTACGTTTGACAAGCTTCCAATAGGAAAACAGCACAACAGCCACAATGACCATCGTGTAATGAGTGAAGAAGTCTGAAACGTTCCAGGGAGTGAAACTGGCGTAGCCGTAGAAAACCACAATCAGACACTCCCCGACGAGCCCGACCCAAGCGGTGTAGGGCTGGAAGCGGCCAAAATAAGGGAAGGTCTTGCGGTCCACCCCCTGGGCCTTGCAGGCACGGTAGAAGCAAAGGTAGGTCACGCAGATGACGATGTAGTTGATGATCCCCCCGGCTGTAATAAGATTGGTCAGCCAGGTCAGGGCCTGCGCGGATCCATCGCCCAGTTGGAGGAGGGAAAGCAGGGGGAAACAGATGACGACCAGCACGCAGTACAGTGGCACGCCGTTCTTGGTGCACTTGGCCAGAATGGCGGGAGCTCGCCCGTCCAGAGCCAGCCCGTACAGACTGCGACTTGCGCAGTACATGTACGTATTGCCGGCCGAGAAGATCGTCGTCAGCAGCAGGGCGTTGATCAGATGTGGCAGGGCCGGAATCTGCATGTTGTGCATCGCCACGATGAATGGAGACGATCCTCCAGCGCCGCTATCGGTGTTGTCGAGAAAGATGGCTACTAGAGCTGGGTCGTTGTAGGCGACGAGGATCCCCACGCACAAGGCGGCCATGAGATAAAAGAGGATGAACCGCCAGTAGACCACCCGGTAAGCGTGCTTGATGTACACTCGCGGGCGTTTCGCCTCGGCGGCCAGAAGATTGACATACTCCGGACCAGCAATCGTGAAACTTGCGATCCAGATGGCGGAAAGCACACCTTCAAAGCGACCCAGTGATCCGGTGTGTAGGTACTCGGCCATGGGCCCTGGACTCTTCCAGTGATGGAAGCCATAAGGATCATGCTGAGGGTTGCCACCGACCATGGTGACGAAGGTGAAAAAGAATAAGAGGGTGATCAGCACGGCTTTGCCACTTGATCCCCAAAATTCGGCTTCCCCGTATATTTTGACTGCAAAGATGCTAAGCAGACTTTGGGGAATTGTTAGTCCATGGTTCTCTTTCCAGGGTAATCAACAGCCTAGGTTGCATCGAGAGACTCACGAATAAGCGACAATACATGCACAGCACACTGCTGCCGTGGGAATGGCATCGGTCCAGAACTTCAACAACATGTTGAGAGCAGTGATTTCGAACGGAATCGAGATCGCCTCGTAGAGAAAGAAGTTCCATCCGGCCATGAAGCCAAAGGCATCGTCCACCCATTTGCGCGACATGCGGATGAACCCGCCGGGGATGGGAGCCAGCGTAGTCATCTCAGCCAGACCGTTGGTAGCACAGGCCAAAATCATAGAGTAAATGCCGTAGCCAAGCAGTAGGCTGAGTGGTCCGCTCTTGGCCAGTCCTCCGCCGATACTGATGAATAAAGCAGTTCCGATTGAGCCCCCCACTGCCATGATCTGAATCTGCCGGTTGTCGAGGCGGCGTTGAAGCTGGTTTGGGGGGGTTGGATCGACGAGCTCGGCTTTCATGACATCCTGATTATCGGGACCGGAATCAGGCGTGGTGCCCTGGATGTCATCAGAGCTAGCTTTATCTTTAGTCATCGTGGTGGCGAGGAAATTAGAGAGGAAATGATATGAAAGGGGCTGCGATAGAGTATTGACGGTACAAGGCCCGTCTGGGGTGTGGGGTACCATCTATTTAAGGACACAAGATGGGAGAAAGAGACAAGGTAGAGAATTTTGACCGCGACAAAGGGTGCTTCGGTATTGATCCTAGCTTCTGACTTTGGGTCATGCTGATTGGAACAGTATATCTGATCCATGATCTCAAACCGGGGGTGGCGCCCTTGCGAGCGGAGAGTAAAGTGTGCTCGAAGAATGGGGGGAGTACCGGGTGTGCGTACACAAATGATCGTCCCGGGCTGTTTATACGAACGGACCTTCATCAGTATCTCTCACGTAATAGCTTTTCAACTCTCGCGATGAGAACCCGACCAGGCCTTCCGAGAGACTCCGCAGTGGGAGGTAACTTAGAGGGGGCAAAAGCCATCGGGATGAGGAAATGGGCACCTGATTCGTATGATTCGACGAGGGCTTCTCGGGAGCTTCATCCGATCCTCGGACTCTAGGAGTTTGCCCTCATTCAAGACATAAGCTCCTGTATACGCGGAGAGTTCAATCAGAATATCGTCTCTATATAATCTTCGAATGTACTCAATCGTTTGGACCTCATCAAGAATTCAACTTCTGAAACATCAAGCATTCTTTTTTCGAACACACTACACTCCAGCATGTCTCTGACCGCAGTGATGACCCCGATGGCGCCGCCTATGGTGGTTGGGCCTACTACAAGAAGAGCCACCAGACCCACCAACAAGCTACCGCAGTCACTCATCGATGGAGCCCAGCTGGCTGATAAGCAGAGCTTTGATCCCAAAACGCACTTGAACTATCAGCCTCCCAGCAGAATCTACACCATGAGAGAGATTGGCCTCGAAGGCCAGGGGATCTCTCCCAACGCGGTCACGGCGCCTTTCCAGCTCTTTACCGAAGAGGCTATCAGACAGATGCGGGCCGAGATCTTCAGCCAATCGGTCCTAGATGACTGCCAATACACGTCAGACTTCGTGAAGAACACTATCCGGGGCATGGGACCTGCGTAAGTGATTGATGGACTTCTGATGGTGATCACGTCCTAATGAGATCAACAGCCGAGCCCCCTTTATCTGTGATGCCTGGAAATCCCCCGAGGTTCTGTCTCGAATCTCCGAGGTGGCTGGAATTGACCTCGTTCCTGCCATGGACTATGAGATTGCCGCTATCAACATCTCGATCAACAATCAGACAGTGGCGTCTACATCCCCTGCCACCGACGACGCTCTCCCCGCCTTTGCCTGGCACCGTGATAGCTACCCCTTCGTCTGCGTGACGATGCTCTCTGACTGCACGGGGATGACGGGTGGCGAAACTGCACTGAAGACTGCGTCCGGGGAGATCATGAAGGTTCGGGGTCCGGTCATGGTAAGCTCCCTCTTTTGCAGCTCTGATGCGTATTTGCTGTGGATTGACAATGCTGCACCAGGGCACGGCCGTGGTCATGCAAGGACGATACATCGAACACCAAGCATTGAAGGCGGTTGGAGGACGTGAGCGCATCACGATGATCACCTCGTTCCGAGCCAAGTCGCCGCATGTGCGCGATGAGACCGTGCTGACAGGCGTGCGGCCTATCAGCAACCTCTCCGAGCTCTACACTCAATACACGCGATACAGGCTTGAAGTACTTGAAGAACGAGTTCGGGCGCTACTGAAGCAGGAACGGGATCGCGAAATTGCTCAGCATCCGTTTAATGCTGCTGATGTGAAGTCCTTTTTGACTGAGCAGAAGCAGTTCTTGGAGTCGATGATCGAGGAGATCATCGAGTAGCTTCGTCCTTTTCGAAATAGCTAGCTGTTTTGTTGATCACTATGAGTAGTTCTGTTCTCAGTCGTACTGCAATAGTCTGAAATTCTTTTTCGTCTTTCCATCCATCTCTCATTTTTACACGCAGCGTTTATTTGGTACCTATAGGAAAGATAGAGAAGTGAGTAGTGGTGTCACGGAGAGGCGTGGGTGACGCGCGTCATGCAGGACAAGGTCGAGCAATCACATCCCCTCTTGTCATGCACTTTTCTCCTGCCCCTTCGGAATATCTCCCCAAGAACAAGTAAGCTACTGCGTGCTTACTGTAAGTCAACTTGTTGTTACAAGGAATAGACATATTGCCGGCATGTTTTGGAAGAGCCTGCGGGGAAGTGGCCTAACCCGAACAGGCAATTTGAATGAGAGCCAGCCCTGACGGAGATCGGGAAACGCTCCCGATTCTTCTCTGGCGAAAATAAAGCCATACTGAACTTCATTCACTTCCTATGGCAAAGTAGAAAGTGGAGCAACGATCACTGATACTCATTTAGTGAAGGGGCGGGGCAGGAATCCCCCTCCCACTTCCAACGCGGTTCACATGTTACAAGAAGTACTACCGCACAGCTTCGAAGCATATGTCACTTCTCATACTTGGATGCTAGCTACCATACGGAAATGAACATCAGAAACGGTCATAAGCCTAGACAGCGTCAAACTCGACAGTCCCCCAGCCGTCAAAAGTGCACGTCCAGCGCCCGGTCTCTCTCATGGGCATCGCCTGCAAGCAGCTCCCGGGCAAAATCACCTGTCCCGCTTCCAGCCCGACCTCGTACGCCGCCAGCCGATTCACCAACCACGCCACCGCGGAGATCGGATTCCCCAGAATATTTTTGGTGTTGCCCGTCATGATCTCGCGGCCGTTGAA